TACTATGGATGTCTGGCGGAGAGGGTTCAAAGGAGGATTTAGGGTTTCAAGAATATGGGATCAGAGATGTCTACGGATTACTACGATTTCCAACGGTTTCCTATGCTTGTCCAGATGTCTATGGCCGAATTTTTTTTAATTCATAATTTTTCAATATTATTTAGAAAAAAAAGGGAAAAAAATAGATTTCTATAATGGTGAAAAAATACGAAAATGAAAAGGAAAAAAAAAAAAAGTAACTTGTTTCTACGTGAAAAAAATAATAAAAAAATGTTAGATCCAAAAGTGAAAATGTTAAATGCAGAATAAAAAATGATACATGCACTTTAAATATTACTTGGTGCATTTTTCATACTTTGTGTATGGAGGGCATTTTTGGAATGAAATTTATAAAGGATGTGAAACAAAAGTTTAGTTAGACTTGTCGTTTAGTTCTAATAAGTTTTGTCATCAGGGACCTATATCTCAGGACCCCTATGATATCGAATAATTTGGTGATAAAAGTTTAATTGATTTTATTTTCTAAGAAAATATAAAAAAAATTCAATTATCGGTATGATTTTAATTTTTTCGCACTTTGTGGGTTCGAAATTAAGTTGGTGGTTGGAGAAATAATAATTTAATTTGTTATTTTGTAACCAAGAAAAAAAAAAACCAATAAAAAATGAATTATCCTTTAATATTGGGTTAAATAAAATTTACACCCGTAATGTATATGCTCTGTAACACTTACCCATTCAAGCTCAATTCAGTTTGTATTTTAAAGGGGAAAGTACAGTTTGCACCCATGAACTGTATAGGTTGTACTAAATACCCCCGTGGACTATCAAACGTACCAAAATAACCCCTGTCATTCGAGGTCAACGTTAAAACTACTAACACCATCAATTAAAATGTGCATTTACTTGTTTGCCCCCAATTTTGGTCTTCTCAATTATTTATTTCTCTCACTCCTCTCTCTTCTTCATCTTCTCGCCATTTTCTTCAACAGGGGATCTCTCATCTCTCACCCCTCTCATCGATCTCCACTCTCTTTTTTTCTCCTTCTTTTCGAACCTTACCTTTAAACCGCAAGTACATATTGCTCATGAAATCATCGTCCCCTTAGGTTAATATCCTCAAAAGTAGTCGAAAACTACAAAATCTGGTCGCGTTTGAAGATCACGCGCCACCACCAGGTTAATAAACGTAGGAAGATGAAGATGAAGATGATGAGGGGCCGGAGTTGATGAATTTCATCGGAGGGGAGCATAATTTTTATGGGGTTCAATTACGGGGTTTCTTCAATGTAGTCAGTGATGGATTTTGTCTTCGGCCGGTAATAATGGTTGAGTGCTGCCATGAAGTCGTATTCTACCACCTCCGTTGTCTTTGGTTCCACCGCCCCTTCTAGTGGTGGTTTGTCGATGGTGGTGGGTGGTGGGAGAGGCTCGTGGGTAAAAATTAAAATCGTTTTTCCCATTTTCCTTAGCTTAATTGCTTCTTGGTTCCGCCGCCGTTTCTTGTGGTGGTTCGTTGACGGTGGTCGGTGGTGGCAGAGGAATGATGAAGGAAACATGGTAATGTCACAGAGAAGGAAGATTGAAGGTCGGTTGTTTGCTTCCTCCGATTAATTTGAAGGAATTGAGGCATGATTTTAAGCCTATATTTTATTCAATCTACCTGTTTTTCTCTTTCATTATTAGAAGAAGAAAAAAAGAAAAAAAATATAAATTCAGGGCTACAAAAGTCAGAATAAGTGCAACAATAATAAAAAAATAAAAAATGAGAACGTCAACGTGACATATCATCACTTACTAACAACTTGTAAACGGAGGGGTCATTTTGGTACGTTTGGTAGTTCGGGAGTATTTAGTACAACCCCTATAGTTTAGGGTTGTAAACTGTATTTTCCCCTATTTTAAATCCTAGTACCTTAAATTTTATTTTTTATTTAAAACAATAACTAAAAGAACAATTAAATTATACAACTAAAAGTATCTGTTGAAAAATGCAATATTTTAAAATTTTAAAATATTATCTTGTATTGTTGGGTACATATTTAATAAATAACATCTACTTGTTATTGGACCAACTAATCGAATATATTCATATCGATAAATTTTAAGAAATCAAGACATAAATAATATTAATCTTAAGTATTTAAATTTATTTTAGTTCATTAATTTCTTAAAATATATGTACATTCAATATTATACAATATATATTACTTTTTATTTATTTTTCCAATAATTTAATTTTAGTTATTTTTCATTTTTTTATGATCTAATAATTATTAGATTGTTATGTTTATTATGTTCTAAGCTTAAAATATAAAATATTTGATGTTGAGGGGGTAAGTGTTACAAATGATACTTTAAAAAGGTAAGTGTTACATAAGCTATACTTCAGGGGTGCAAAGTGTATTTAACCATTTATTATTCAATTAAGGGTGCATTGTGAATGATTTATTGCGTTTTAAGGATTCAAAGTGCTATTATTATTTTTCAATGGTGCAAAGCGTAAACAACTCCATTTCAAGGGTCCAAAGTGGATTAAGCCCATATGTTCTAATGTTTTTTTGAATAATTTTAGAATTCAATACCTAAAAATGAGGGAAGTGAGACTTGAAAGTAAAACCCCCTTTTGTTTATTTCGAATTCAATCCCTAAAAATGTCGGACATTCCCTCGGAGCTCTACCACAACATACTCCGGCGAGTGCCCGCCGACGCTCTCCTCCGCTTCAGGGCCGTCTGCAAGGAGTGGCGCCGCCTGATCGACGATCCATCCTTCATCAGATTCCACGCCGACAACCAAATCTCCACCACCACTCTCCTCATCAGAAACTCAAACGGCACGCGCGTCTATTCTCTATCTCTGGACTCCCTCAACAACATCAACGATGCCCACCAAGTGATCGACGTAATGTCTGAGAGGGCATTGTACTTCATAGGTCTCTATGAAATACCTTGTTTGCCGATGGCCTCGTGCAACGGTCTGATGCTCCATACCTACTACGAAATCAAAGAGGATTGGGTGCTGTTGAACCCGTTTACCCGAGAATATCACGTGTTGCCGCCCGAACCCAATTTCCAACATACACGTTTATTAGGCAACGGGCTCGGTTACGATTCTGCTTCCGACGACTACAAAGTTGTGAGGATAGACGAGCTGCTTCTCCATGGTGAAATCGAGTACCAAACTAGTGTTTATAGTCTGAAAACGGAATCTTGGAAAATAATCGAGGAATGCCCCCCTTGTGAATTTCGCATGCCGGGTCCTAGTAAGGGGGTTTATCTGAATGGGGCATTGCACTGGAGATTAAGGAACTTCGTAATTACTCTGAATCTTGAGACCGAATGTTACCACAAAGTGCCTATGCCGCCCAAATTAGGGAAGCCTTTCAAAACGCGTCTCGATTCGTTGGGCGGATGCTTGGTTCTGAGTTACTACTACAAGAAGAAGCGTATCGATGGATGGCTGATGAAAGAATGTGGAGTGGAGAAGTATTGGGTGAAGTTGTTTTCGTTAGGGGAACTAGCTAGTGTTGGTGCTAAAGGGAGACTCAGGCCTATTGCGTATATCCAGAGCAAAGGGCAGGTTTTTCTGAAGCATGATTGCGGGTTTTTTATCTTGGATATTGGGAATAATTCGGCGAAGAAGGTTACGATTGATGGGCTCCCTAAACGTTTCTCTTGTCAGATTTTCTCGGGAAGCTTTATTCCACTCGGTGATAGTTATGCCTGTGAAGTGAGAAGTAGTGTCGGAACGAAGAGGAAGAGGAAGAAGACTAGTAAAAGGTGAAACTACTTGCATTTTTTTTCTTCTTTGGATGATTGACTTCTGTTTAGCTTATTTTCCAAAATTCGAAAGTCTGTTTCTAAACTATAAAGATGTGATTTTTTTTTCTTGGTAATTATGCCAAAGGATAAGAGCCTCGGTGCGTATCATGTTTAAAAAGTTATGCCAGCTAAAATAGAAAACTGAGGCTTATGAATATGTGCATCTTTTAATTTAGCTTACTGGGCATTGATTTAATCCTTTTGTGCAAAAAAAATGACGAGGATGTTTTGTCGTTGCAGGTCTAAGCACTCTGTAACAATCACCGATGTTTAGTAGTTGGACAACCTTTTTTTTTTTTGGTGGAAGCGAGGGATGCGTGAAAGAAGGCACTCGTAAATGCCGTTTGTCAATTAATCAACCCGCCCCTCTCCGTTTTTTTTTTTTGCATGGATATATATGTAAGTCTTGAAAAAGCTTCTCTAGCATTACCGCATAATATTTATGATGTTGATTTTTGCAGTTTTGGCTATGGTGGTTATGAATGGAAATGGTCTTAACAAATGGTCCAAGTTCTTGCTGATTTAAGTGCTTTCAGTGCCTAGTTTATGTGATTTTATCTTTTAACTAAAAAAATATTTCAACCATTTTATTTCTCATTTAGAGGGTGTTCGGCTAAGCTTATAAGATGATTAATTCTAAAATGAAGATGTAACAGCTTATCAGCTCTTAAAACATCTTATCAGACGTAAGAGTTTATCAGCTATTTAAAATAAGCTTAGCCAATCAGGCCCTTGTTCACATTCTTCTTCCTAATTCACACACATGACACAACACACATTACAAGCACTTCATTCACACAATAGGGCTTGGATATTAGACTACACACACTCACACTCATATTACAGTTTCAAACTCTAAGGCTTATATTTCAACAATAAACTTGAAGAAAACTCAGAACTATAAAAATAAAAATCCGCCGATGTAATTAATGTGTCATTTCAGTGCTTTCAGTCCGAAAAAGAAGCAAAAATTGGGTCATCGGGTGTTACGTTGGTAATTCACGGAAAAGTTTTGCAAACTTTGAACGGAAATTTTTATGCTTATCAACCAAAAAGGTCGACAACGATGAAGGAAATATTACTGCGAAGGCCAAGGCCTTATTTGAGTAGTATTGTGGTAAAGATGGTAGTATTAGGTCAATGCTTCAATTTCCTTTAGATATGAGCGGGCGTTACAGGCAATTTTTATTTTTGCCGATGAAGGAAATATTAGGAAAATGTAGGGGTGTTCATTCGGCAAAACCGTACCGAACAGTAATGAAATTTCGGTTTCATACCATTACCGAACCGAAATATGCGGTTCAGTACGGTAAATAACCGAATTACCGAAATTTTAGTAAAGATATTTAAAAGATTGAATCTTTTGTTTATTTCAATAGATTGTTGTAAAAAAAATACATTTTGGTACAAATATTAATATTACATATTTACATATATAAATAAAAATAAAATTTCGGTATTCGGTAAAACAAATTATCGATTCGGTATTCTGCACATACCGAATTTTCGGTTCGGTATTCCGCACGCACCGAAATTTCGGTTCGATTGATTCGGTGAGTTTATTGACAGGATGAACACCCCTAGGAAAATGTACATCATTAGAATATTTTGTAGGTAAATGTATATCATTACAATTATTTATAACCTTTTTTTTCATTCATATTGAGTTTTAACATTTCTTTTCATCCTTAGTAATATTTCAAAACTAATTTTCATGATCAACGAATTGTTAACCCGAAAAAAAGAAAGAAAGAAAATCGGAATGGACCCATAAGTTGATGCTTTAATTAAGGTAGTGTTTGCAAAATATTTTGCCTCACAATCACAATCAGTTTTTTAATGTTTGCAACACTAGTTTTTGCTTCGATTGACTTAGAAAGATGACGACAAGTTATACAATTTTCATAACGTTTCCATTTCTCATCTGATTGAGTTGATTCAAAATAGTTGTAAAGCTTACAAATTGACCTACAACGTTCAACATTTGCAATTTGTGAGATTCAAATTAAAATTATTACAAACAACAACTATAAAACAAATTTCGTGATTTATTTCGATTATAACTTTATTATATGAACCTCGGTTGCGCTGATTAAAGTTGCGTTGGAAAACTTGCATTAAAGTTTATAACTTGTCTTATTTGGAGTTTTCGAGATTTCTTATGTATCATGCTCTAAGATCAATTAGAATAATTCAAACTAAGATGGGGTATTTTTGTTATTTTCCCATTAATTAAGGTTCGTTAATATCTTTATAAATTATTTTAATAATATTTTAACAAACAAATATACTAGTAATCAATGGAATTCAATCCCTAAAAAATGTCGGACATTCCCGCAGAACTCGTTCATGAAATACTCCGACTGCCCGCCGATTCTCTCCTGCGGTTCCGGGCCGTCTGCAAGGGGTGGCGCCGCCGCATCGACGATCCATCATTCATCAGAGCCCACACCAACAACCAAAACCCCTCCACCACTCTCATCATCACAAACCCAATGGGTACCTGCCTCTATTCCTTAGAACTGGACTCCCTCAACTACAAAGATGCCCACCAAGTGATCGACGTAATGCCTGTGAAAACATTGCACCGCATCCCTCTATTTACCTGCTTCGCCGGTAGCCTCGTGCAACGGTCTGTTGTTCCTCTCCTACTACGGCTTCCAAAAAACATGGGTTGTGTGGAACCCTTTAACACAAGAGTTCCACGAGTTGCCGAAATTTAGCTATCGGGCTTGGCTATGATTCTGCTTCTGATGACTACAAAGTTGTGAGGGTAGATGATCTGCCTATGCGCCAAACTTATGTTTATAGTCTAAAAATGGAATCTTGGAGAATGATCAAGGAATCGCCCCCTCGCGATTTTCCCATGCCGAATCAAAGTATGGGGGTTTATCTGAATGGGGCATTGCATTGGAGATCACGGGATTTCGTAATTGCTCTGAATCTTGAAATCGAACATTACTACCAAATGCATCTGCCCTTACCCACCGGACAAGTCGAACCTTCCGGAACGCATCTAGATGCGTTGGGTGGGTGCTTGGTTGTGAGTTACTACTACACGATGGACCGAATGGATGTATGGGTGATGAAAGATTATGGAGTGGCGAAATTGTGGGTCAAGTTGTTTTCGTTTGGGGGACTAGGTAGTATTATTGGTGTGGGGAGCGTTAGGCCTATTGCTTATTTCAAGAACAAAGGTCTCGTTTTTCTTCAGCATGGTGATGAGTTTTTTCGGTTGGATATTGAGAAAAAATCTGCGAAAAAGGTTACCGTTGGTGGGCTCCCGGACAATTTCTCTTCTCAAATTTTCTCGGGAAGCCTTTTTCGACTCGATGGGAATCGTGCTTTTGTAGTTAAGATGAACAAGAAGAGGCCGAAGAAAGATAATACCAGGTGAAACTACTCAACCTAGCCTCTTTGTTTCCCCTCTTTGGATGATTTGTAGAGTGATTGGATTTTAAGTTTGCGGGGGCTGAATGCATTAAAAGTTTTATGAAGGGGAAAGAATAATACTAATTATACACGATTTCTTTTTTAATTTTTACATAAAAAATAGGGATTCGAGAATTGTTAGGGGCCATGGCCCCCTATGGCCATATGCCGGTTCCGCTACTGACTATATACCAAAACACTCGAACAAAAACAGTATATTACATACAAAAAAGAAATCACAAATAAATATATATAAAGCTACATAATTATTAATGTGGTCCTTATTTTCTTCATCTGCAATACTAGTTGTTGATAATGGACAAAGACACGAGACAGAATGACCTAATCTATATGAACTGGATATATATATATATATATATATATATATATATATATATATATATATATATATATATATATATATGCTAATGATTCGAATGATGAAATGCGGTGAGAAAAATAGAGAGTTATGCCTTATGAACATGTTGGCTTTTAGCTTATTTCTCGATCATACACAGGTATGTGATAAATGACAGATGATGTTTTATCGTTGCAGGTATAAGCACTTTGTAACAATCACTGATGTTAACTGCTATGGACAAGTTGTTTTTGGTGGAAGCAATGGATGAAAGAAAAATGCTTCGGAAATGCCTCGTGTCGATCTTTCCTCGCTTCTTTTGCATGGATAAATATGTAAAGTTGTGGGAGTGATCTTAACAAATGTTTGCAAGTTCAGTGCTTTAATTTACGAGTTTATTTATATCAAATAATCACTAGCAACTGTTTGGTGAATTGAAAAACGAGATTTTTCTGGTTTTGATGATGGTTAAGAAAATATGCAGTAATCAAACGATTGCTGAATTTCATTTGTGAACTTTGCGAGACGCACCCTGTATCGGAAGTCGTATTTGCAGTAATCATGTGTAGCATCTAACTCTCCCCATGAACTTTGAAAACCATCAAAACAATCCCCTAAACCACGGCTGGGCATGGGTCGTTATATCAGCCAACCGATCCACTTTCGACTTGCTTCTTTCGGCCGATAATTTTAACCGACGCATATATAAATGGGTCGGTCGGTGGTTTCAGTTTACTCAAAAGTTGGTTGGCCGATATTATCGACCTACCAGTTTTTTTAATTATTTTTTTTATTATAAATATTTATTTGTAATTTTTATTTTTTTAATATGAAACTAAGATATAAAAGACTTAAAACTCAAAAACTCAAAACACAAATTTATAAACCTCTTTTTACTATTTCTATTTTATAATTCTTATTTCATGTCATTATATATTTACTTATTGTAAGGTTTTTTAAAAAAAAAAAACTCGTAATTTTAAAGTTAAGATTTTTGCAACATAAGTTTTACCAAATTTTTTAATATCTTTTGAATTTTTTTACAAAAACATCTTATTATTGTAGAAAAAAAAACAATAAATAGATGGCCGATAATACCAACCACATATTGTTTATTCGACAAAGTCGGTTGTCAACCATTATTCGACCCATAATGGTCGGACCCGATAATGATTTTCAATTTTCAGCAAAATCGGGTGGTCGGGTCGGGTAGATAATTGGCCGATAATTACCCGACCCATACCCAGCCCTACCCTAAAGTATAAGCACTATATAAAATCCCAATATTATTTTTTGGATTCAATTTGGCCTATATTTTGTGTTATTCTAATTTCATATTATTTTATTAAAGGGTATATTTGTTCTTTTACCTCAGTCAACGACTAAAAATACAATGGGTCAAATGTGTTATTAAAAAAACCACAGAGGATTTTTTGCTAGTTTATTTATTACAAGGGTTTTTGCATTATTTCGAAATTATAGAGACATGCTTTTTACAGTTTACTCTACCTTTTGAGCATCATTTGTTGCAGCAAACATTTCTACCGATAAATTGCTGAGGCTTTTTTTTTTTCCGGTTTCTTTTTTAAGAAGAATGGGGGTGGGGTTTGGACTGGACCTTTAACCTGTCTATAGAGTAAAAATCAATGAGTACATAAAGAGTTTCTGACAATATATTATACCCAAAAATGGCTAGAAATAGCATCTGCCAAAAAAAAAACTGTAAAAAATAGAATAACATGGGTAAAACAGGCGGTCCAAATTAATGATAAGAGAGAGCAAAGTGGTCATATAAAGCCTGAAAAAATCGAGAGTCAATTCACATCACCACAACCATTGAGACCACTTACCACCAAAGATGGACGGAACAGGTATAGCGGCTGCAAAAATTATGGCAACAAGCAGCAACCAGACAACTCCAAATCGGCCCAACCAGCCTATAACCACTCCATCGTGGCCAATATAGAATAAACGATAACCTGTATAATGTGAAAAACTACTAAAAATAGACACTGCTGAAAATGAAAAAGCGTGAAAATCATGATACGTATATAGAAGAGTGACATCGAAAGGATGGATACACAAACTGGTCCACTCGAATCATCTGCTGATTAGTCCGAGGGCGCTCCGCTGCAGCGAAAGTACAAGCCGAATCGGTCTAAATACCGCGAAATTGATGGGTTGACATTTGCAGCATCAAATTTCTTTGCAACAAAGTCACCGGTAATGGCAAACTCCTACAAAAATCGCAATTGATTGTCATTCTTCTTCATCATCCTCCCAGTCCAATAACTTACCCCCACCACACCATTTACGTTTCTACTCAAAACCCTAATCCCCAATTTCTCTAACAATGTTGGACATCCCCAGAGATTTATATTCGTGTATACAGGGGCGGATTCTTTCAAGCCCATGGAGGGGCTGTCGCCCCCCCTTGATTTTTTTAATTAGCTATATACATATATAGTTTATTATTTAAAATTTGACATAGGTCCCATAATTCTTCAAAATGAATTCCAGCTCCTAGCCCTGCTACCGCAAAAAACAAATGACAAATTGCAAATTTTCACTATTAAATAAATTTTAGATGATTAATTAATGAGTAATATATTTTTCTTTCTTAATTTTATCTTATATATAAAAGAAAGAAACGCTGGGCAACCCTAACAAACCCTAATGACATTGTTGTAATTATTTATTTTTTGATATTTTTTTTTATTAATTTTCTAATTATATTTTCAACAATTATCAAAATTGACACTGAACCGTGAATAATCGTTCCGGTTTCAATCTCCTATTTTTCATCAATATATTTATATCTCAAATCTAAAGAACTAAAGATAAAAATTCTATTTCTTAAATTGATCAATTTTTTCACTTTTAAAATCCGATTCCGTGCATCGCACGGGAAGATAATGCTAGTTTACTTTTAAAAAGAACATAGTTTTAAAATTAGGAAACAATCGTCAAAAATACTAATAAATTTTCCAATAGGTTTCTTTTCTTTTTACTATATATCTTATCTTCTTCTCCACACAATCATCGATTTACATACCATTATAGACTCTTAAGACAATTAACAAATTCCATTTCATTATCTCCCTTTTAATCTCTAATTTTTTTTCTCATTCTTTAATTGCATGTTAAAATTTTGTTGAATTATCTTAACGAGTTACGTGATTTTATTTTTAATATTTAGGGGTTTATGTATGAATCTATAGGGTTCTTTGACATTTAATATAGATAGGGTCGATTGTTCTAATGTCTTTACATCAACTCAAACCATTGAAAAATAATACGATTCATGCAGATCAAATAAATGTAGATTAAATTATCTACATTTATTTATTAATTTTTTTTTCCTTTTCATTATGTTATCCGAAGCTTAAGCCCCCCAGTTAAATGTCTCACGGTTCGCCCCTGCAC